TACTTAAATCTACTCAACTTTAATCAACTCTACTCAACTCTACTCAATTGTACTAAACGCTACTAAACTTTAATCAACTCTGATCAACTATTCTCAACTCTACTTAACTCTAGTCAAATCTGCTCAACTCTACTCAACTCTATTCAACTCTACTCAACTCTACTCAACTCTACTCAACACTTCTTAACTCTACTCAATTGTACTCAACTCTACTCAACTCTACTCAACACTTCTCAACTCTACTCAATTGTACTCAACTCTACTCAACTCTACTTAACTTTACTCAAATCCACTTAACTCTACTCAACTCTAATCACTCGGAACATTTGAGTGTTGAGTTTACTTTCATTTCGAGTAAAAGTGTTGGGTGAAGAGATTCGAAGGTCGGTTCCACCAGAAGACGACGGCGGATTTCTCTTCACCAGCTGTCGATTGGCTTTACTGGAAGATTCATGCTGACGCTGTTTCCGAGGCAAACTCCTTCGATTCCGGTGAAAAGGTGCTAGGCTTTCGTCCGTCATATGACGGACATCATCAGAACGAGGCACCATCGTCACAGCAAAATTAAAGCTAACAAGTCAAGAATACTTACCGGCAAATCCCTAAAAAGTGGTATATATATACTCTACATCTGGCCTCTTTGAGCAAGTATAAAGTGACTTGGTTAGGTAAGGTCATATGTCAACTTCGAACAGACACATACAAATACAGAGACAGACACACTCACATGCATCAAAGTTGACATATGACCTTAACCAACCAAATCACTTTATACCTGATCAAAGAGGCCAGATGTAGAGTATATATATACCACTTTATAGGGATTTGCCGGTAAGTTTTCTTGACTCCTTAGCTTGAATTTTGCTGTGATGATGCTACCTCGCTCTGGTGATGTCCGCTTAGCACCTTTGTACCGGAATCGAAAAAGATAGCCTCGGAAACAGCGTAAATAAGAATGCTCCAGTAGAGCCAATCGACAACTGGTCAAGAAGAATCCGCCGTCGTCTTCTGGTGGGATCGACGTCCAAATGTCTTCACCAAACACTTCTACTCGAAAAGGAACTAAGCTGAATAGGATAACTTAGCAGCATGTAGGGGACAGAACAAGATCCCCAACTTAGGCAACACTTAAGTTAGCCGCTTAGAAGAACAACTACCACAAAAATTCCCATGAAAGGTCATCTTGTCAAGTTGTAAAGACGAAGAAGCCTGTGGGTTGAGATATCTTGCAACTAGAATTTAGCATCCTAGGCCATCTTCTGTGACCGATCTGGCTCTTAGGCACTAACAATTGCTTTGGCCTCAAAGCTTCGAAAAGACCGACCTGGCATGACCAGTCCCTTAATCAAGAATTACAGGCGATTCCAAAACACTCAAGATAAACATAACCAGGCTATGAAGACCAAGATAGTGTGACCATCAGTATGGTCGGAGTCTCCTTTTGATTTATAGAAGTGGGTGTAGCAACTTGGTCTTGTTGTCGGGGCGACTTAGTAGAACGCGCCTAATCGGAAGTCCTTTGCCATAGTAGTTATGATAAATCCCAGCATCAGAACCTAGACTTGGTACATTCTCAGACGTTTGACAGGCATCATCAGTGAGTGTTGCCATTCTCCGACGGTCTGCCGAAACGGTTACACTCTCCTGGCCTATCTATCTACTCTTTACCCTCTTATCAATCTCCCGCCCTATCACAACCTCTCACTTGTTGACATTACACTCGTCAAAATGGGTGTACTTTTTAGAAAGGTTAGTGTGACCTCATCACACCGACTAT